ACGCAAAGAGTGCTCAATATCATAAAGATAGAGCAAATGTAGAATTTCGCTTACCTCAAAATTCCGCAACAGTCTGTTTCATCAGTAAAGAATCATTAAAGAGTCATCAGGCAGATACCGCCTGACGATTCTTTACTATGAAACAGACTGTTGCGGAATTTTGAGGTAAGCGAAATTATATATATATATATATATATATATATATGTCAACCAATGTAATTAATATAGTCAGTATAAATGTACTGTGTTTTAATCTATATCGCAAATAAAGGAGCATACAAAAGTTCAGTGTTGACGTAGAATTGTTTCTGCGGTGTGTCAAACCTTTTAGGGACATAACCAGGGGCGCCGGAGCCACCTGGGCAGCAGTCCCCACTGCCCTAACAGTGCGCGGGCAGTGCACTAACAGTGCGGGGGCAGTGCCCTAACAGTGCGCGAGCAGTGCCCTAACAGTGCGGGGGCAGTGCCGGGGCAACTGGTTGCTCTTTTTGTGACAAAGTCCTGTCCACATCAAGCACTACAATTAGAGGCAACATGCAGTTCCCCTAAAGAAGATTACTAAGGTTTCCACTAACGAGAAACAAAGTTCAAATTAAGGAATCCTTCCAGAAACCCACAAGTTAGTGCCTCTACCATACTGACTAATGTACCACTAGGATCAGCAACCGCAGAGAGAAGTTTCTGTGCAATGCGACGGATTAAATCATGGCTACGGTCAACGATGTTTGTACCCACCAAGATTGCCAGAGATTTCGTTGAATGAAAAGCGGCGAAAGGACTTTGGACAGTTCAATGTTTGGTAGATTCAACCTCGGATTCCTTCTTTACTGAATACTGGACGTATTAAACAACAGATGGTATTACATAATTATATACAATATGCCGAATATTATATGAATTTGATAGTTGTTAACAAACTGGACGTGTCGTTATTGAATCTACTCAATTTATTCATAATCTATTAATTAAACTGATCTAGTGCATGTACAATATATAGAAATATTTGGCTGCAAACTATCAGAAATCATCAGCTACCAAAATATTCCAACATACTTAAAATTTATTAATACTCAAAATTATGTCAAACTCTGCCCAAAACGCATGAAATGGCATTTCAGAGACTCTAGATTTCAAAATTTCCCGGGCGAGGACGCTCTCGGACACCACTACGAGGTTCTAAAAAGTGCCTTTTTCAAGATTCTACCCCGCCGCTTTTCAGTCTTTCCGGCGCCCCTGGACGTAATGTAGGGCACCTTTCCGAACTTGGAATATGATATGCCATTACCTTTATTGTTATTAAACAAATATGCGTGTAACTAAATAACAGAAAGTGCACTGTCTTGGTGAAGTATTTAACAAGGCGTGTCAGTTATAGGCATTTGCTTACGTCCCTAAAAAATGAAGTATTGATCAGATATTGTTCAACATTAAAAGAATGCAAAATACATTTCCATTAAAAGAATGCAAAATACATTTCCTTGATATGCATATCAAGGAAAAAGACGAGGCATAATCCAAGGATTGCTATACGGTTACATTCCAATATACACTGACAATACAATAACTAATGGGCGACTTGCACTAAGAGGTTCTCTTTACATAGCAGCTACGGAATTTGTGCTTACAAGAGGGATATAGAGCACAATCTTAAGTAAATATCGCAAATGCTTTGAATGCCTAAAGAAAACGGTGACATTGTAGACGGTCACGTGATTAAACTGAAATTGTTCATAAATAATGTGAAAATTCTCTTTATTTACACTCAAGCCTATAAAGAAACATGTTTGAAACACCCGACGTCATCAAAACTAGAGTTATTGAGGCTGTGACATGAGACAGTTCAAGCTGTGTTGTTGGCTGTGTTCTTGACTGTTTTGTGCATTTTTCATTTCAAATTCTACATTATTGCTGCCACGTCGTATCTTTTTCCCAACGATATAGCTACTGTGGAGAATATAAATCCAACGATATATTATTGTTTGAGACGTTTGACACGTGTCCAACTTGCCACATCACAAACTTCATTCTGTTTCTTATTTCTGCGATCCCGAAAAAGTTCCTATATCCATTTAATTTTGTAAGGAGATCTTGCTTTTCCTCCGTGTTACAGTCTCATACCAACTAGTTTTAAGCCGATTAATGTCACGTGACCTCTTAGTGGAAGTCGCCTTTAAATTAAACTACGACTATGTTAGATGTAGCGACGACTAACAGTTATCCACTTCGACCGTTAAGGCCCATTTCCACTCAAGAAAATTTTCCGCGGAAAGAAAATTTTGTAAAATGTGATTGGCCGACACAAATTTTCCGTTCCGAAAAAAATCTGGAAGTTGAAAATTTTCAACATTTAACAATGACATTTTCGGAAAATTTTCTGTCCGTGGAAATTTTTCTTCAGTGGAAATGGGCCTTACCGTATCGTAGCATTTTCTTTTGTGTCGAAGTCAATAGTTTCCACTCTAGTTCTCAGGAAACAAAGAAATACGCTACGATACGGTCGAAGTGGAAAACTGGCTTAACTACGACTACGCTTTGCAACTATGATTTTACAGATAGATATTATCTGAATATATTTCACCGTGGAAAAACAAACGTGTGCAGGTGTTGAAAAGCATGTCCAGAAACGTAAGAAAACAAAGTACATTCATGGATTTAGAATTTGGTATCAAACCTATAAAAAAGAACATAATTATCATTTAAAAGTGAAATATAAAGTGATTTTATTTCATAAATTACGCAACGAATTTTCGTACAATATATATAAATGCTTGTTACTATTACACGATATACAAACTAACAGTAACTCCGAATAACATTTTGACTTTTAATCGACGTTTCGACTAGTTTGTAGTCATCCTCAGGATTAAGAATGATTAATCTTTTTATCATTAAGATTCTTAATCCTGAAGATGACAACAAACTAGTCAAAACGTCGATTAAAAATCAAAATGTTATTCGGAGTTACTGTTTTTTGTATTTTCTTAAAATACTGAGTGGTTCCCGTAATTATTACACGATATGACCAGTAGTATTCTCCGTGTCGTATTTCAAAGTGAACTTTTTATAATTATTAACCTTCTTGTTAACAAAATAGTAAACAGCTTTGGAGAGAGAATTTATGCAAAGGTTCAGTACCGGATATTAGGGTCTAGGTGAGGGGTTGAGGAGGGCACATCCTCCCTCCCCCGCTCGGTAATTTCCAAAAGCATTTGCATGAATGACCACCGTAGTGTCCTTATAACATGAAAGCCTTGATAGGTAATTATTGCTGCAAATTAATATTCTTTAAATACACGTAAAATACGTTCTCAGGACTGCGATTTGCAACAATATACGTTTTAAGACTGACAAATCGTCGTAGCAATTTTTCATAACGTATGGAAAGCTATGCAATGGATGAGTTGCCGGTTCGATGAGTTGCTGGTTCTTTGTTTTGTGCGGCCAATTACCCCCTGGCGATCCGATAATGCATTGCATTTGCACATAACGCAATGCGTTATGGGATCGCCAGGGGACAATTAGCCGCGTAAAACAAAAGAGGGTCTGCAAAACGGCAACTCATCCATGACGTGATGTTGTCCTATTCATGTTGTAGACGCGTGCAGTGCGCCTGCAAAAATCCACACACCCCTGCCAGACAATGTTTTGTGGTATTGAATGTCAGCTTTGATATAATTCATTTTTTTACTATAAGATAAAATAATTATCCTATCGTCTTTATCCATTGATATTTGTCTTACCAAAATAATCAAACGTTCGCCTTCTGAAATCGCTGAAGGTGTCGCCACCAATATTTCAACTTGACCAAGTTATGGAAATAAGGTCTATTTCAGGCTTCGAAAATGTGAGTTTAAAGAGACTTCCGCCCTGTCTGCTGTTAAACTAATGGCTTGTGGTTCCTAACATTAAAGATTTGGTTTGATATGTTTTTAATGAGGTGGAAGCTTACGCAAAATGTGAGTTTAAAGAGACTTCCGCCTTGTTTGCTGTTAAACTAATGGCTTGTGGTTCCTAACATTAAAGATTTGGTTTGATATGTTTTTAATGAGGTGGAAGCTTACGCCTAGAAAAGGAAATATTTTGAAATTGTTGGAAAGCTGGATAAACGAAAAGTTGGATAAAGGGCGAATCAGAGAAATGAGACATTGAATTTTTAAGACACGCATTGAATTTTTAAGATTCAACCTTCAAATGATGAACCTGGTCCAGAAACAATGAATTTGAATTCTTTAATTAGTATTTATGTAAAGGATTCATGCTTTCTGATTGGCTAGCAGCCAAACGTGAAATGTCATATAAACACATTTGCTGACCAAATATGGAGTTTTGAGAGAATATTCAACGTTATTACGTCATAACGTTGAGTACGAAAAATCATATTCAACCGTTTGAATATTGAATATGAAAAAATAATATCTAACAGTATGACGTCATGTTGTTAAAACACAAAATGTGGTGACACGGATTGTTAACAACAAACTCGTTTAAAAGATCACTTCGAAAACATTTAGTTTTACAGCAATACCTAAAATCCATCACATTTACACTTGGCGTATTATGTGCACGAAATATCACAAAAAATTTAATCTTCCGCTAAAATCAGCATGTCACTGCTGTTTCTAGCTCTATGTCTCTTTTTTCTTTCTTGTCCTTGTTCTTCTTTTTATATAAATGTAATATGTGGCTGTTGTGTGGCTCATGTGCGCTCTTAGGAAGATTTGCCTTGTTTGGGCCTTGGGCCAGTTGCTAGCCTCTCCTAGCTGAGTATTGTATTTTTAATCTTGTAATTGTTACCGCAGTTCATTAAATGAAATGATTTATGACCGTGGCGGTTTACGAAACGGAAAATTGCGCCTTCGGTCGTGTTTGCAGGTTGAAGGAAACAATTTTTAAAAATTAACAAGAAGTACATATCAACAAAAACAGCCACGAAAAGTTTTGCAACATCTTAACGTACTTATGAAAGAAAGGGAAAGGTTTCCTGCAAATGGGAAACAAGAACTAGTAATTATTTCGAGAAATTGAACCTAAGGTGGGGATGTATTTTTCTTCTTTAAAAAATAATAAAACAATTATTAAATTCGGTTTTCGCAAGATATGAATAATTATCAAGCACTCGGTTTGTGTTATATTTAACAAATATAAAACATTTTCCGTGTTGATATACAGTTATATCAACACGAATGGAAATTGGGAAAACGAGCAATTGTGTGGAAACACGACGCCCGAAGGGCGGAGTGTTTTCACACAATTTCGAGTTTTCCCAATTTCCACTAGTGTTGATATAACTGTATATATCAATACGGAAAAAATGTTTTATATTTTTTTTATAATATAACACAAAGAAACATAAAGAAAGAAACTTTCCGACGTTTCCGTGTTAACATTGAGTTATATCAACACGGCTCTTAGCCAATCAGCGTTCAGAATTTACAAACGCTATATATTTATGCATGCTTGCGAATCGCTTTAGAAGGCATGTAATTATTGCAGTAATATAATTTTATAAGCCGGTATTTTTATGTTAGCAATTTAGGAAGAGAAAAGTCGGAGTTTAAGACCACTTTATTAGAAGTACATTAATTGATTACTTTATTTATTACTTTAATTGACTACCTCAATTATATTAATTTAATTAATTACTTTAATTGATTACTTTAATACACTAATTGATTTACTTTAGTAGATTAAATTATTACCATTAAATATTGTCACAATAAAATTGTTAGAAATTTACATTATTACAAGCGTAAATTCAGTATATGCATACAGTGGTCAAACATTAAAAAACGATCAAGATTTGGGGAATAAGATAATTACAATTAAGTCAAATTTAGTACTTTTATGACGTTAGGCATGGACCATTATTACCGGCTAAATATATACACTATAGAAACTATTTATTTATTTTTAATTTTACATTAATGAAGAAAAAATGTAATGCATGTGCTGAATTCTATTTAAGATGACTAGATTGAGTTACAGTTATAAATTTTGCAAGTCAATTATTAATGCTAGAATCGCTTCATTGTTAATGAACCACAATAATGACTACATTTCTGTCGTGTACCTACAGCATCAGAAATACACAGGTTAAAGAATTAAACAATTATTGTTAGGTGCATATTTATTACGTAAAGGCGGACATTTTGTAATATTTCCTTCAATCAGAAAGTTAATTTACTGCCACGTGAATGAGATTTATCATCCAATCACGTCTTACGTCATCGTATTTGACGCAGCGTGTGATTTTTAATCAATGACCACGTGACCGAGATGGCCGACAAAAAAGCTAAAAATATGGCTGTTTGCCAGGAGTGAAGAAGGGAAAAATATAAAAAAATACATGTAAGAAAGCTTGGAAAAGGTTTCACATAACATATTGTAAAACTTTTTTTCAATTTTTAAACGCAAACATTTATAAGAATTGACTTTCGTGTGGGAAATCCTAAAGTATAGCCCATAGGGCAAGTTTGTTTCATCGTTTCAATTGTTTATGTATGACTTTGTATTATTATAGACTTTAATTGTTCTTGTTGTTCAAGTCTAAATTAAAGTTCATGATAAAAAGGAAAGCAAATTATGCTCATTAGCGTCCTGTACGGATTACTTTTATTTCATTTCAAAATTTAAAGTTGAAGCTCAAGTTGAAGAGTTTAATAGAAACCAAAATAACATACCTACTTTATATATTTTAGAAATTGATAGTTCTGTATTGAAAAGTGTTCAAATTTCATCTACTTTTTGCAGGTTTGTACAAAACATTAAAAAAACAATTATCGTGTTGCCATCACTGGTTGCCATGACTAACATGACGTCAGCAACGCAAGCCTGCGTTCAGCGTTGGCGTAATTACGAATATTTCATGTTGAAACAATTTTTGGAGAATATAAGCGGGGGGTTGTTGCATGCATGTATTTCTAGTATCAACGAGATCTGTCATGATAATCATGTATTTAGCAAGTCAGGAATTTCGCGTGACACCGGAAAGTTTTGAAATCGATAATGTGAATTGATGAAATTCATGTTGGGATATCAATAGACCTTTTTTAATGACGTCAAACGCGGAAAACCAGTTGATGTGATGTCCCACAGGGCATTGCAAGTCGTTGGCAAGCTAATAATTTCATAAAAACATAATTTGTGTTGCGAATTGTCGCTAAAATGTCGCTAATAATCACATTAAATGTTAATAGAAACGGACTTTCTGAACACTTACACTAAATCTCTTTCATCAATGTTGGATAAATCCTTCTGAGCGAAACTCCAGTTTGAACTGACAGGTGCTGAGTCAGCAGAAGCACGATCTGGTGTGACACCAATAACAAGTAGAATTTTCTCCTACACAAGAGAATAAAAATACAGTAGGCCTACTTTCAAAATTTTTTCAAGGGGTGTGAATTCAAGTTGCCAAAATATTTCGACTATCTTGTTGGCTTGTTGATGCAAATTTTCATTCATCAAATCATTTGTGATTCCGAAAGGATATATCATATCAGGCATAAACGTTTCGAAAAGAGTATTACTACAATGTACGCAATGATCATTCAGAAATGTATTGACATATTTTGCACCGTAAATGTATGACAAAACTATATGTTAAAGTGCTCACTTCATCTCTCTTCAACATATCATCAATAACTGACTGAGCTTGACCCAATGACAGTCCAACTAAACTGACATTTCCAACACACAGGAGCAGATCGCCGGTCTTCACAATACCTGGAGACGCAAAAATGAAAAGATAAATTATATATGTTAGGTCAAGGAGTATTAAATGTATAGTAAAACCCCTATTAACAGGCCAATTTTTAATACTTTTAACACAATTACACTGGAATAATCCCCCCCCCCCCCCCTTAGGTGGCGTGCATGAACACCTCCGAGCAGTCAGTTCGATAAATGGTCTCATTATTATAGCAATATGGTCTGGAATCTTATGTGATGAATATTTAACAATTATTTAATGAGGTTGAGCATAAAAATTATGGTTAAAAAAACTGATTATTATTCCGAAGAATTTAACCTTCATGCGCCGATGCCTTTGTGCCGATAAATTTAAAAAAATATTGAATTTGGTTTTCTCAAGGTATGGAGAGTTATGAAGACCCAATTTGTGCCATCAACCTCAGCCTTTGGCTTCGTTTATAACACAAACTTTGGCCTTGATAATTTTTCAGTCAATAATTGTTAAATATTTAGACCTATGTCGATTGACTATGAATACACTTACTGTTTCCACTATCAGCTCCCCCACTGTGTCTAACAACGATACGTCCATCAACTTCGTCCAAAATAAGGATGTGCATATCTCGCTAGAATAAGAACAAAATTTGGATTAACAGTTTATATCAAAGTACAACTACTTTTTTATCGGCGAAGAAAAATCCTTCTGAAGACGCGAGAGCTACGTTTTCGAAGTTCATACTGTTTTTTAGGGACCGGTCATTATTTATGGCCGGGGGGATCCCAAAGAGAAAATGGGTGAGTAAACAAAATTTTATGGGTGATCCGGAATCCGGAATCTGGGTTTTTGTTGGTTTAGGAATCCGGAATCCAGAGTCTTGGAATCCGGAATCCAGACAGTGGAATCCGGAATCCAAATAACTGAGGAATCCGGAATCCAGAGCCCAGGTTGTTCTGGAATCCATTCATGTTTTATTAATTTAGAAAAAAACCCATAAAAAACATTGCTAACCATCTCCTCTTTTATTTAACTCCAGGAAACATGTTCAGGCTCTTTCAAGTTTCACGCCCAAATAGTCCAAATACATGAAATTTGAGAAACTGTTTGCGCCCCGTGCGGCTTCCGATTACTAGCGGGTGTATACACATTCTTATATACCGTTTGCATCTTGGTGCTGTTTAGACAATAGCGAGCTTAAGATGCACCAAATCTACGACGCGGTCGTGGACAAAAACTGTAACTATTCCCACAGTCTCACTACACGGATAAAAATTAAACAAAGTCAGAGACACAAGTGAATTGGTAAACAAAGTCAGAGACACAAGTGAAGCTGCATATAATAAAACTGGATTCCAAACATTAGCAACGGTTTTTATGTCACGTTCCGCGTCGTAAGCCTTGGGCAAACTAGGAAACATTGTTGCGGAAACATTGTGATTCGCCATGTTTCCTCAAATGTTTTTGTGTTTACCTACCCGTGGAAACATCGTTACAGAAACACAATTTGCTTCCCGAGAAGCAGAAATGTTTCCTATCAATGCAAATTCAGAAACATTTCATGTTTCCCAAGTGCGATTTTTGTTGCGGAAATATTGTTTCTTAGTGTTTGTCCACCTTGGGAAACATGGCGAAACATTGGCAGGAAACAATGTTTCCTAGTTCGCCCAGAGCTGTAGATTTGGTACATCTGAAGCTCGTACATCTTAAGCTCGTGCATCTTGATGCATCTTAAGCTTTTGAGTCGACTACGAAGCGAATTTTCGGACTTGGTCATGGGAAAACATTCCAAACACAGTAAGGAATCAAATGAGAAAAGGTGTATGTAATTTTCTTGTCAATCTTGTTTTATTTTATTTATATATACTCGGTACCCAGCCAACCAGACACTGACCCGTTTATACATTTACATTAGAATAAAATGTTGTTTTTTTTAAATTTCGCATGAATTATTAAAACGCTGAAGGTCGTTTACATCAAATCGAGCCTGTCAAGCCTGTGTTTGATACAAAAATATAGTGTGCCTCTCCGTTTTGAAACGTTTCACCTATAGTTATGCCTGCTATATATTTGTATATAAAATTTATTGTTAATTAGTTACTTGTAAACATTTTAACAATAGTTCCTCGAAAATAAATGCTATTTAGTACTGTGAACTCCAATGCACTGGGAACTGATATTGGCTTTGCAATACACAAAATAATAAATTGGACAGGGCCGTAGCAAGGGGAGGGGTATTGGGGGGTGGTTTACCCCCTCCCCTCAACTTTTTTAGAATTAACATATTCGGAAAATCGGGTTGGCCATCCGGAAAATTAGGTCAATAATCAGTATAATAAAATTTTAGTTGTTAAACAGAGAAAATATAATATAATTGTAGTATCAGTATAAACTGATTTACGAAATCATGGCATTTGCATGGATAACATTTAACAAATAGTAAATCGGTAAATATTTTTCGGTTTATTGACTTCTCAAGGCCGTAGTAACCCGGGAGGGGGGGGGGAGGGGCTGTGTGGGGCAGCCCTCCCAATAATTTGCTAACAATCATTCTTTTTTTCAAAATCATGCAAATCTTTATCATCCAACCTTTAAAATACTGACAATTGATTAATTTTAAGCGGCTACATACTTTCCTGCAATTTCTCCAATACGTATAGGTTATTTTGAGGCAACGAGGGGATATGTGATTTATTCACCGAGGCGCGCAGCGCCGAGGTGAATAAACACATATCCCCGAGGTGCCTCAAAATAACGTACTTATTTTTCACACTGCGAGGTCGCGTTATTGGCGTTAATGAGTCAGAATAGAAATAATTCTTAATGCCATATTGCCTTCGTTATGTTGTTTTTTTCTCATTTTTTGTGCTGCAAAGACATTGCAGGTGAATATTAGAGGGGATTATTAATTGCAGGGGAATATTAGAGGGGATTATTAAACGGAAATTGATTAGAGGGGAATATTGAATATATTCCCCGATAAGAACAAAGGAAACCGAGCCGGGTGAAAAATAAGTATAGTTAATTAAATACGCCTTCGCCCATTTAGTACTACTAAATTGTAAGCAAATTGTAAATTTCGACAAACTAAAACACTATTTTCTGACCATCAGAATTCTGTCAAAACTTCCCCAAAGTCCAGGAAATGGCATTTCAGAGACTCTAAATTTAAAAATTTCCTCGGGCCTTCGGCCCTCGTTCTCTCCCCTAATTAAAAAGAGCTCCCTAAGGCACTGCAAACTTCTATGTCGATTTGCAAGGTATTCCATTAGACTTGCCCATAAGTATTCCATTTGAACCTGCCATTAATCCGGTTTTCATTAGGCGTAATTTTGCGCGCGGAGCGGAAATTTTCTTTGTCTTGTGATTTCTCTGGTGGAACTAATTAGAAAAGACAAAGAAAAATTCCGCTCCGCGCGCAAAATTCCGCCTAATGGAAAATTAAATAGGCTTAACAGTCATGATAAATTGAGACAGAGTTCATACTTGTTGGCTTTTTTGTTCTCTCAAAAACTTAAATAAGTCAATTTAGCTTTTAAATAAGTCAATTGACAAAATTAAGTTAGGGTGAATCTAAGATTTTTGAATGAGTGCTGGGGTTGGGTGGAGAAAAATTTTCTTTTGAAGGTTGGGTCACTAAGGCGCGTTTCAGACGGCGTACTTATCATGTGCCGAACTTAATTGATGAATTAGGTACGGCAGAAGAGCGACGTATGGATCAATTAAGTACGGCAGAATTTGGAGCGGCAAAAGTTCGACACAAGTTCGACAGAGCTTGTCGCATTATGCGACGTTGGACTGACATTGATTCACACGCCGCTCCACTCATGTGCCAAACTTAACTCAACTTTAGTCTAAAAATAAACTTTTTTATTTATTTTGAATTTTATTTAGGTTTCGCTGGCGAATGCGCCCCAACCTTGTCAATAACATTGTATTTGGTACGCCGTTTGAATCACTGCCGTTCTTGTGTCGCATCTAATACAAGTAAATTCGGCACATGAACAGTACGCCGTCTGAAACGGGCCTAAAAAATTTGTCCAAGAAATAAATAATCACCGTTCCCCTAATGTGCCGGTATCATAGTTTTAAAAAATAAATTGTACCAACATGGAGACAAAATTTTCTCAAGTTTTTGGCAAAATGGGAGTGGACTCATACTTTTGGCACCCACAAGTTATGCAGTTATTACATAAAACAGCCGCATCATTTTAGCGGCAAAATGTCCGGTTATGCCGCTGAATATATCTTAAATCTAAATATCCCAAACAGTCGAAATTAAGTTTGTCCCATTTATAGAACGTTTAATATGATCATTATATAGAACTCTCTTTCAATACTGAAAATCCATATTGGATTTTGTTTTTGAACTCATTAACGCAGTGGTATTATAGGATTAGCCATATATGATACTCCCAGATTACCAAATGAATGACAATTTACTTAGTATAGATGCTAAAAATGCTGTCAATAAGCAATTTGTATTTGAAATAGTGACCGAAGTATAATTTTTTGCATATAATTTGTATATACAGCAAGGGTATAATTTTTGCGTGAACCTGCTTGTTAGGCTACTTATCCGCAATAATCCAAAATGGCGGACAGCTGACTGCATGATTTATGATTATTTTGGTCAAAATATTTCGAATATAGGAAACATTTTCAAAATAAGATCAAGTAAATTTTTCTTGTCATATTCTTTTGATACAAAATAAATATTTATTCAATACAAGAGGAGGGTAATGTAAAACTACTGAACCGTTAGCTTACCTTATCAACCTTCACTGACTTTGGTTCCCGACCGCTCAACAACTTCTCACCAAACTAAAATAAATATAAAAAATGCAGACCCACGAAATCATGAAATAGGAATCTTTGCTTCAGCTTAATACGTCAAATTTGATCAATCAGGTTGTAGGATTTATTATGTTCACTTGTGCGAAAATACTAAAACTGTATATCAATACGGAAAAAATGTTTTATATTTGTTTTATAATATATAGCACAAAGAAATATAAAGAAAGAAATTTTCAGACGTTTCCGTGTTGACATTGAGTTATATCAACACTGCTCTTAGCCAATCAGCGTTCAGAATTTACAAATGCTATACTATACATATATATATGTTATTTACCGGCTGCGAGGTCCGTACTGAAAAAATTTTTCCCCGAGGTCTCAGAAGCGGCCCGAGGCCGAAGGACGCTTCTGAGGCCGAGGGAAAATATTTTTTAGTACGGACAGACCTAAACGGTAAATAACGTGTCTATTTTTTTATTTGATAGTTCATAGTTATAATGAAATTCCGATAAAATTCCAGTTGCGAAGTACATTTGAGATCAGTTGCGTTTGTTACTTTAGTGCAAGCATGGCTGACAAACTGCTAAAACGATAAAAGCTGGGTAAAAAGCTTTTAGTTTCATTGCAATAGATGCTTTTCTACTCAACAAGAAAACAGAAGGTAAACAAAGTAAAAAGATTTATTTCCCGATTCGTTTTGCAGCATGGACATGCTTGAAAAATGCTTTTTGACAGACAAATACAAATTTTAGTTGCCGAAAAACAATTTGTTCTTCACAACATTTATAACTGAAACAGTTTTGCCCGAATAAGCCCAGGAATCGTCTTTAAACTGCCGTTGAAGGTTTTTTTTAACATTTTATGTTTAAGGACAAGTTGTACGTTGTACTATTTATATTTATACGTATATTTTTGAAGAATAGATGAATATATGTAGAATATTTGAATCAAAACATGTAGCACTGGCAAGTGTTTTTCGATGTTTATATTTGTTTTTTTCGCAGTTTGGTCGGAGAAAAGTACATTTCGGGCTTGGCACTAAGTCCACTGAAGCCAATTCACTGTATTTTACTATCTTTAGTATCGATAGGGTGGATTTTTAAATTTTTGGGTAGTGTTTTAAGCATAGAATAAAGATCCATATAGAAGGGCCACTGATTGCAGGCCCAGATTGCAGGAAATCAAAAAATATCACTAGGCATGCATAAATAATATATATATATATATATATATATATATATATATATATATATATATATATATATATATATATATATATATATATATATATTATACCTCAAATTCAAATTGTCCAATCAGGAAGCTTAGTTTGTGCCACGTGAGCATGAAATTAATCGCGATATCACGCCTTACGTCATCAATTAGCGAGCCTGCGTTCTTTTCGACAATGTTCCACCCCATGTTCCCCGGGGAACATGGAGTGGAGTGGAACATTATTCGCGTAGAACACGCGAGACAACACGCATGACAACAACATGGCCGACAAAATATAAATAGTATTGATGAGTGATGAATAATCTGGGTAAATGATGTAAAACCTGGGGCTTTTTCAAAATTTTGAAGCAAATTTTGAAAAATGTTGTCATTAATATTCCAAACGATATGTGATTCGAAAGAAAAGCGACGATACTTGCGTTAATCCGAAAATAAAACATCGTATTCACGAAGGTATGTGTCAAGTTTTTAATTCTCAACTTGGAGGCTTTTAATTTTCGGTATAATATATAATTTATAGACCCTCCGCTCGGGGGATTCGGCGAAATATTACCCTCAGTGATGATATTTCT